AGTGTCGGTGCTCCTGACTTACATGATGAAAGTCATTGGTTTGATTCCCAGTCTTTCTGGTTGGAGGTCTCATTTTCTCACTGTGTGTGTGAGGGTGGTGGAAAAGGGGGGGGTCATGGGGTCTAAAACACATGCAGCTGGGAGATTAGATCAATTTTTCACTCTGATCTGACCGTAGATGTGGATGTTAGTGTGAATGTTAGTGTGAATGTTTGTCTCAATATATGAAACAAATCTGACTTTTAAAGACAGCAAGAACAGCACAAACCCAGTGAGTTTCTACATCAGATATACAGTGTGTTCCACAGTGTGAACACACTTTGTTTGACACATTTCAAATGAAGTGGGACAGATGTCACCAGTCACATGTGAGGTGGCATCAGGGAAGCTGACACTGTGTATTCTCCCTCCAGAGGTCTGGGTTTAAGAGGACGAACACTGGAGTGAGGTCTGCGACAGCTGTGGGGACAGAGGAGACCTTCGGATTGGTGACAGGGTGATCAAACGTACCAACTTCCAAATTGGTAGTGTTCATATTGACTTCTGTAAAGATCGTGTGACGTCCCGTCTTCTTCTGTGCCTGAGGGTCTGACGGAGGTCACATCTGAACTATAATGTTAGTGGGATGTAAATAGGAAGTGAAAATGCAGTGTGAACGCAGCCTTAAAGTGTGAGCCACGGTGCCTGGGTCTAGGTTGATGATGGGATGTCTGGAGTCAGATCATCAGACGACTCCTTGTGGCAGTTTGACAGTGAAACTCCTGACATTTAAAACTCTTCTCTAATCTGCTCGTCTGCATTTCTGTCCCTTTTTTTCCAACGACTTCTCAGTGTGAGAGGAGATAATTTGAACTCTCTGTCTGTCCGTCTGTCTGATGTAACGTTAATCACATGTGATCTTTTCAACCGGGCGACGGCCGTCTTGTTAATTTGAGCGGCGATGCGCGGCCGGACGCCGCGCCCTCCTCCTCCCCCCTCAGTCAGCCCGTCCCTCTGCCTGAAGAGTAATTGCGAAGCCACCATGCTTGGATGCGCTCGACCTTTACGACCTTAAAAAGCCATTTCCATTTTTTCTGACCACAAAAAAATGGAACATATCTTATTAATTGCAAAAAGGCAAATATTCACACCGCCTCCTCCACTTGCTCCTGCTCCTCCTCCTCCTCCTGGTGCCTCCATATTTGATTTCCCTTTAAAGGCAAAATGCTGAAAAGCATTTCCATTTTCATTCATCAGGGCTTATCAGTCATCTGAAGGCCCCTTCAGCCACAATCAGCGTCACGGCTCCAACCGACCGCAGGGCGACGCAAACAATGAGCAAACGGTCAACAATCGCAGGAAGCAATTTGCTTTAATATGGAGTGGGTTTTTATGTTTATATTCTTTTTTTCAGACAGAAGGAAGTGTCACGGAGCAGCAGTAACTGCAGCAGCAACAGAGGATGCTCCGAGATGACAGTGAAGCTGTGACTTCAACACCTGTCCCTGAGGATCAGTCGGAGCCTCAGCGCTCACAGCCACTGACCTTAAGTGTTATTAATTATAAAGTTTAATGTTACTGCTAAGACAGAGAGGATTTGATCCCAAATCTGCCAACGTCAGGAGATCTGCAGGAGCAGTCGATGGTTGAGTCCCACACCAGTGCTGCAGGAAGCATCAATAATTCCATTAAAACCTTTCAACATAATGTAAATCAAATGATCTGAAGCAGGAAGTGAGAGCACCAGAGGACGGACCACACTTCAAAACATGGCCACCAGCAGGCACTCAAGGACAGAAAGTTTCAGTAAAATGTGTCATCGCACGCCAAACAAAAGTCCATCAATCAGTGACTACAAATCAATCAGTGATTTGAAGTCTACAAGGTCACAGGTGTGTCTGGTCCACTACAGACGTTTGTGTGTGTGTGGGGGGGGAGGGGAGGGGTTAGGGCAATAGTTCCCCTTTAAATGACCTGTGACCCTGATGGACCAGAGGTCTGTCCTGGGTGTAACCCCGCCCTCACCTGATGACTGCTGGGATTGGCTCCACCTCCATATGACCCTGAAAAGTTCAGTTGTCTGGGGACAATTGTCATGTACAGCAGGGGGTCTAACCCCGGGTCTGAGGTCGCTCAGTACTGGGATGTAGTGGGTTTCAGTGGGCTACAGTGGGCTACAGTGGGCTGCAGTGGACTACAGTGGACTACAGTGGGCTACAGT